AGAGATTTTTAATTATAGTTTCATTCTTGTGGCCCTTCTTTTCTTACATTTTTAAATACCCTGTTTTTTGTCTGTGTTTTAGTTTTTTAGCTATAATGTAGTGTGATGATTTCCTTTTCTCATTCAGTCTATGTAGTGTTTTGTAAGCCTCTTGTACCTACATGCTCTAGATTTAGACATTTTTTTTTCTGTGATTTTACTTAAAATATTTTCTGTGCCAATTAGAATTGGTCTTTTTATGATGTCTATGTCTTTCCCACTTTCCATTCTTCTTTTCTTTTTTTTTAAAATCATTGAACTTTATTTAAGAATCCAGTTCCTATTCCACATTATCTAGCCCTGTTGTTTTCCACATAATTCATTTTATTGGTGGAGCTTTCCAGTGAGCTTTTATTTCTAGTTATTGAATTCCTCACTTCCACACTCATTTCAGTTTGGCTTTTCTTCGGCAAATTTACCTCTTCAATTAATTGTATTTTTCTATCTTGAATTAACTTCCTTATTTCATTCAGCTCTTTGTTTTTGTTCTCTGGGGATATATTAATGAGTTGTTTGAACGTAGTTATTATTATTCTTTTAAATTCCTTGTCTGCAAGTTCATCCTCAGTGGGAGGCATAGAATATAGAATCAGTGAATTTTGAAGAGGACAATTTGTCTTGGCTTTTTTCAAATGTGGAGGTTCTGTTGTTTGTATATGCAGGGAAACTTATACATTAGTTTATTAGTTAGTTTATTGTGTTTTTTAATTTTTAAATTCAAAAATCCTTTCAGTGGAAGTATTTACAATATTAAGGATAAAACTTAGTCATAGTATGGGTGAGATAATATTTTCCTCCATGAAATTGATTTTTAAGGAGAAAGGCTCTATCCCTAGTTTTTTCTGAGCATCAGGTACTGGCTTAAGTCAACTCAGATTTTCCAGCCTGGTTCTGGAGTGTTTGAACTGGTATTTCCTACATCTATGGAATTTACTCTACATAATTTATTGACTATATAGTGTTCTTTCCTGAGTCCATATCTTCTGCCATTTTGACCTATGAAATCCATTAAAGCCTGTGATATTTACCTTGGGTCAGCACCCTGTGCTGTAACTTCTTCTGTTGGCAACTTAGCACTGTGGGAACTGAATGAGAATTTAATTCTTTAAACACCTCTGCTCTGCTTGTAAGATTAAAACTGTAAACTCTTTATGTTTTGGTCAAATAAAAGAGTAAATGTAAATTAGTGGTGTGTTCTGAGTGCAGTAAACACATGTAATTGTATGAAATTAAATATTCTTATAGAACATCATTAGGAAAGTATATTCCTTTGAACATCCTATTTCCCAGGAACACCCACTGGCCAAGGATATTTTAACAAAGGAATATGGCTGAAGTATCACCAATTCAACACTCTTATCATAGGAAAAGGCAAACACACAGGGGAAGAGTGTAGTTGTGACCACCACTGTATGATCATTGAACAGGCCAAGCCCAAAGGAGGTTAAACAGATGAGACACAGAAAACTGACTATTTCAAAACACACCCTTATCAAGGCTCTGAATTTATAAATACTCAGATCAGCCTGTCCATTGCTAAAGTCTTGAGTTCATAGACAGTAGAGTTTTAAGGCTTTGGTCTTTCCAGAAATTGATAAAGTGGACTTGACAAGAGGCATAAAAAGGTTGTGATTATTAAATAAGTTTAAGAATTTAAACAAAAGAGAATAGTCAATGTCCCTTAAAAATATACTTGTCTATATAACCCTGAATGATCATCCACAAGTATAATGTTCCTTGCCATAGAAGAGAATGACAAATATCAGATTCTGTCTTATGTGTAGAGCAAGTGGTGAAATAGGAAAGTCACTATGGAAATTAGTAAGAAAACCCTAATCCTTAATCAACTTTTCAAAAATTCATGAAGAGAACAATATTATGGAGATTACTATAGTATTCTGATAACAAAATAAACAAAGATAACTAAAAGAAAAGTAAACTAAAATAACCTAGGAAAATAGATTTGAAAAGTTCAATAATAGGTTCAGTAGTTTATGAATTAAGGTGTACCATGATTAAACAGAATTTACTCCAGCAATTAAGGTTGTTTTAATACATGAAAATTAGTCAGTTCAATGCACCCTACTGTAGAATAAAGAACACAAGTATTATTAACTGTGATAAAGCAGTTCTTATTTTGCTACTAATACTGGTACTCTGCCTACAGCCATGTGTGTAATGACACCGGCTACTTAAAGTTTTGGTTGTGAGCCTAGCCTTTAATGGCTGAATCATCTCTCCAGGCACAGCTATTTAAATTTTTATGACAGACAATTTAAACAATACTCTGCTCTTGAGGATATAGAAACTGCAAGTTAATTAATATTCAGGGGAATTTTGGCCAAGTAAGTCATTACAATCCTGAGGATATTATGTGTGAAGAAATTTAGAGGTGCATGCGTGTGTGTGTGTGTGTGTGTGTGTGTGTGTGTGTGTGTGTGTGTGTGTGTAAGAAAAGCTTTTGCCACTGAAAGGCCACTTATATGCATAAACTTCTATACCGAGTGTCAGTGGAAAGGCAGAAAGTTAGGTAAGATTTTTGGTTTCTACACTAGGAAAGTTTACAGTAGGATTTTACCTTTTATTTAGGGGCTAGCTCTAGATAGCAAGCACATTAATTAAAAGTGTGTCACTTTCCAAGACTCACTACTATGGACCAAATAAGTCCTAATATGTTCGAGCAAGTTCAATGATTAAATAACTCTCTCTTCTACATGACCTCAGACTGAGGAGACTTCCCCAGGGACACAACCTGAACAAAACCTCAAGCTGCTATCCATATAGTAATGAGTGCCCCTTACTTTCTAGTTCATGGTCCTCAAGGTATTATGAGATACACACTTCGTCACATATTATCCAGGACCAGAGATATAGCCTATTGATAAATTAGTTTCAACTTCAGGGAAAAGAACTAATAAGTGAGTTGTTTTTAAATAAATACATCAAAACATCTGTTCCTAAAATAAAATCTTCAAAAACCATCAATAATTAATTCCTGTGAGGGCAAAGGTGAGACAGATCCATCCATTAATAATATCCTCAGTAGTCTTTCCACACACAAAGATTCCAGAAGAAGATGTTTGTTGGTTTTATTTCATTAACCAAGTTAGGAATTAGAAATATTTACATCTCTTGTTCTGTAGCTGTTTTTTTTTTAATATTTTTTTTCAACATTGGTGTGAAGATGTCAGACCCCCCGCCCTGGAAATGGAGTTACAGACAGCCATGAGCTGCCATGTGGATGCTGGGAATTGAACCCAGGTCCTCTGGAAGAGCTGCCAGTGCTCTTTACCACTGAGCCACCTCTCCAGCCCCAAATTTTTTTTACTTTTATTTTATGTGTATTGGTGTTTTGCCTTCAGGTAAGTCTGTGGAATTACAGACAGTTGTTAGCTATCATGTTGTTGCTGAGATTTGAACCCAGGTCCTTTGGAAGAGCAGTCAGTGTCCTTAATGGCTGAGCCATCTCTCTAGCCCCTGTAGCTGTTTTTATAATGAGAGAAAATCAAAAGATTCTCTAATTTCCCCAGGACTTTCAGTTTCAAATTCAACATAGCATTTGAATCTCTTTCTTTCTCTCTCCCTTCCTTCTTTTTTCTTCTTTCCTTCCTTCTTTCTTTATTATTTCTTTTTAACATTATAACAATTGCAAAGACATCAGAGCTTTGAAAGTACGCATCAAATTCATTTGAAGAAGTTTGTGTCACTTGGCAGTCTCTGCTTCCTGAAGTATTATTTGGTTATTGTGGGTTGGGGATGCAAACCTTACCTGAAATGCTGTCTAAGTGGCTGTACACAATGATTACTCTGTGTTTCTGAACACAATGCACACTCTCAACTGCAGCAGTGGCCAAGGTAAGCTACCCAGAATTCTGATTTTTAAGCTACTTATTATATTTTCATTCTCACCTGGAAGGAGTTTGCAATTAAAATAATTGAAGCATTACATTTGAATACCATCAGCTGTTACAGGAGATCATGCACAAATATTTGATCCCCTAACTATGAATACAGATACATATACAGATACATATGGAATCTAGGTTCCATGTGGTACAAAGAGAATGAGGCAGCAGGGTGTATCACAGAATATGTCTTTCTATATAAGACATGTGAATTGTACATAGAGGTCCGTACAATTTATTAGTCTAAACAAAGGCATACATATTCTCTTTTTTAGTGGCATTTTCTGCTATTAATTTTTTGTTTATTTTCCATACAGAACACAGTTTCCCCTCCCTTCTCTTCCATTCCCTCCTGCTGCATCCCTTTTATGCTGACCCAACCCACTCCTTCACCATCTCCATTCAGAAAGGGGTTGAAAGTATTCAAATTAATGCTTGAATTAGAATCATTAAATACTTCTTTTACTCTAGTCTTAATTATGTAAATATTCGAGAAGCAAAAGTTAGTGATAATGGACTTTGTGTTTTGAATAATAATCTTTGTGTTTTGAATGCTTATTTCAAAGAATAAAATTAAAATGGAATGTTTTCCCATAAAATTTTATATAGAATTAATTTCACATATATTAAATCATATTTACATGAATTCTCTTTTCTTTGCATCCTTTCTGGAATAAGTGGTACTAGAGGACATTATTCTGAAGGAAAACACATTTACAGTTTCTCCTTCGACTCTGGGAATGTAATTCCTTTCTTCTTGATTTCCTATGCCTTATAAAAATACTATTGATATTGAGAAAAAATGATTAAAAAGTCAAATAATCCAGGATAGCTTCCAACGCCACAGAGAAACCCTCTCTCAAAAAACCAACAACAACAACAAAAAAAAAGATTTAAGATTTTTATTTCTACAAGACTTAGAAAAACAGGGCCTCATCTTTGAAACAATAGCATGATGAAGATACAGAATTTTTGGAATATTTTGGAATATTTAAATTGTTTTATAATTCTTTTTTAAGGTAAAACACCCCTTTCTGACTTCAAAAATAAATAAACCACACTACATAGATGGAGAATAAGAGGAACGTGACCGAATTCATCTTGATAGGTCTTACACAGAACCCCCAAATACAGAAAGTAGTGTTTATGACATTTTTGGTTCTGTACATGGTGACAGTTTCAGGCAACCTTCTCATTGTGGTTACTATCATTAACAGCAAGGCTCTGAGTTCCCCCATGTACTTTTTCCTGAGCCACCTTTCCTTGATAGACACGATTTATACTTCTTCTTCAGCTCCAAAGCTGATTGCAGACTCCCTTCAAGAGAACAAAGTCATCTCCTTTAATGGATGCATGGTGCAAGTTTATGCAGAGCACATTTTTGGTGCTACTGAGATCATCCTCTTGACAGTGATGGCCTATGACCGCTATGTGGCCATCTGCAAGCCTCTGCACTATGTGACCATCATGAACCACAAGCTGTGCATTCTCCTGGTGGGAGTGGCCTGGACTGGAGGGTTTCTCCATGCAACTATTCAGATCCTCTTTACAGTCTGGCTGCCCTTCTGTGGCCCCAACATCATAGACCATTTTATGTGTGACTTATACCCATTGTTGGAACTTGTCTGCATGGACACGCACACCCTTGGTCTCTTCGTTGCTGCCAACAGTGGATTCATCTGCCTATTTAACTTCCTCCTCTTGATGGGATCCTATGTGATCATCTTGCCCTCTCTAAAGAACCATAGCTTGGAGGGAAGACACAAAGCCCTCTCCACCTGTGTGTCTCACATCACAGTAGTGATTTTGTCCTTTATTCCTTGCATATTTGTGTATCTACGCCCAGTGACCACTCTGCCAATTGATAAAGCAGTTGCTGTTTTTTACACTATGGTGGCTCCTCTATTGAATCCTTTAATCTATACCCTCAGGAACTCTGAGGTAAAAAATGCAATAAGAAAGCTCTGGAGAAAAAATAATGTGAATTCAGATAACAACTAAATAGGGTCTTTGAAATTACAAGCACCACTTCCAACATTTTTATTTATGGACAGGATTATCTACTACAACTCAGAGGTGAATATTACTTGAAGATAGTTACTTAAGCAGAATGGGGCAATACATCTTTTCTCTTTTGTCATGCTTTTATCATCATAGCCAAATGTCTCTTTCTTTTTTAGATTTGTTTATTTATGTACGTATTGTTTGTTTGTTTGTTTAATGAGCATGTATATGTATGTGTGTGTTCACCAGGTAGATGAAGATGCCCATGGAGGACAGAGAGGCCTTGGATACCATTGGAACTAGAGTTTCAGGCTGTTTTAAGCCACTGATTTTGAATTATGGGTAGGAAACACTCATTTTTAATGAGAGGAGAAAGTACTCCCAATTGCTGAATCATTTTTTATCCACAAATGATTGCTTTTTAGTCAATAAATATAAAGTAACTAAAAAAACTCAATGTTCTAAAATGTCTCAACTATTAGATTATTAGTATAAATAACCATATGTAATATTGAGATGTTGCTTATTACACATAATTTATAAAACATGTTTAGTTATATTTTACTTTAAATTCTGAACTTCACATAAATTCTTTTGTTGATTTTATTATTTATTCAATATCAGTTGTACAGGAAAAAGAGACACTGCTCATGTTATGCCTACAAGCCTGTCATTGTTTCTATATTTTATTGTTTAGAATCCAATTGCAGAACAAGCTAAACCAATTTTTTTGATTTGAAAATAAATTTTACAAACAGTGCATAATTTTATTAGGGAATTAATGATATGAGATTATAAGAAGAATATCTAAAGGTACATGTTTTGAGAGAAAATCTTCCATGACCACAAGAGTCTAATATCTTGGAAATATGTAGTTATTATCCATCAAAAGGTGAGGCATTCATTATATTTTCTTGAGCCAGAACTTGTTTACAGTAGATGGTCAGGAGCTGTTAAATCATAAATTATTCTGTGACTGCCAGATATGTGTGAGCCTTCCACTAGGATACTGGAGAGCTGAGACTGGTAAAAAGGAGTATATCCTGAATTAATAGACAGACTAACAAGTGTACCAATAATGATAGTACATGCTCAACCTAATGCACATAGACAGAGAATATCAAGTTGAGATGAATAGTAGGACAAGAGGTAAGGCCGATTTGAGTTAGAAAGAGGAGTATAGATGAATTTGATCAAAATGCATTCTGTGTATATGCAAAATTCTCAAAGAACTAATAAAATATATGAGTTTATGGGCATCAAAATTTGGATCAGGTGGATGTCAAAAAATTAAATACTATTTATAGAGCATAATAAAATAAATATTCAGGAGTGCATTTAATTGAAGAGATGAAAAACTAGTAATATGTATACATTTATTACTACAATGTAAATAAACTGTATTAAATGCTATAAAAATTATGTGTGTCATTGAAAGTAATATGAATTAACAAGAAGATACACCATCTTCATGAATTATAATAGTATTAAAATCTTTTTACTATGCAAACATGAGTCTTTTTCTAGATAATTGTGGGTTACTAAGAAAGCTGATATCATTTGAATCACAGAGTGTCCTAAATCCCGTGTGTAGATCCTTGTACAGTTTCTCTGTTGACTCATACTACAGAAAGTTGGGCTTTTATCACTATTAAGCAAGCCTTCACTGGAAAGTCACCGTTACCTGCTATCTAGATAAATGATACCATAAAATTTATTGCAATCATTTTACATATTGATTTCAATTTTCAATTTATTTTCAAACAGCTAAATAGCAAGTGCTCCATAAATTTAAATGTAATATTCCATGTGTGTTTATGTTGCATAAAGATGGCAACAGGCAAATGAACATATTACCAGTATTGATGTACACTGAATTCCTCAGAACTTGTTTACTCTACTCATATGGTTTTTAACACTAGGAAGTATCTGTTCTCCAAATTGTTCTGCAACTTGTGCTCAGGCTCAGCTGTGGGTCTTTTGTGTATCTCTGTAGTTCTCTTCAGGTTTTGGATCAGCATAGTATTATTATTATTATTAGGTGGTCCCTCTTTGCCAGGTGTTTTGGGTTAAGCAAACCAGGATTAGTACTTTAAAAGTTTGCTGTGGTCCTACAATTAAGTCACCTATTCTTTGAATTTTATTTATTAGAAAGTTTTATTTTCAATTTAACTTTGTTATTTATTGTGTTGCATTTAGTGTTTTATATACATACATATTTAAATATTAACATTTTAAGAGATTTTTTGGTTTTTTGAAAATTGAAATGTATTATTTTATTGACCTGAGATCAAGTTATTTCTTGTCTCAATCGTGTTTTTTAACTGAATAAAATACAAGATAAAACTAAAACCATCACATCAAAGTCGGACAAGACAAATGAAGAAAAAAGCCTCCAAAAAGAACCAGAGACACACAAGAAATGATTACACATAAACCCACTGTAGAAATGATTACACAAAAACCCACCATCATTTCTGGTTGTTATTTTTAAATTGTCTCCATATCATTTTATTTGTATTTTAAGTAAAATATTTAATGCTAAAAATAGTGACGATAGTTCTGAAACAAGAATTTATAATTAAGCCAAGATTTTGTGTTCCTCTGTGACACATGATTAAACTGCAAAATGTGAAAAAGAAAAAAAAATCCAACATCTCTTCATAACATAAAATACTGGAGAATTTAGGGATACACGGAACATATCTCACATAATAAAGGTAGTTTACATCAAGCCCATAGCTAACATCAATGTAAATGAAGATAAACTCAAAGGAATTCCTCTAAAATCAGGAAGACAAGGTTGTCCACTCTCTCCATCCCTATTCAATATAGTACTTACAGTCTTAGCTAGAGCAATAAAACAACCAAAGGGGATCAAAAAAATACAAAATAGGAAGGAATAAGTAAAAGTATCTTTATTTACACAAGACATGATAGCATACAGAGAACTCCTGCAGTTGATAAACACTTCCAGCAAAGTAGCTGGGTAGAGAATTAACCTAAAAAATACAGCAGCCCTTCCATACAAATGACAAATGGACTGAGAAAGAAATCAGGGAAATAACACCTGTCACAATACTCTCATATATAAAATCCAAGAAAGTCAAAGACTTGTATGATAAAATCTTCAAATCTTTGAAGAAAGAAATTGAAGAAGATATCAGAAGATGAAAAGATCTCCCATGCTTATGGATTGATAGGATTCACATAGCAAACATGGCTCTCCTATAGAAAGGAGACTACAGATTCAGTGCAATCCCCATCAAAATTCCAATACAGTTCTTTACAGACTTTGAAAGGTCAGTTCTGAAATCTTAGCATTTTTAATATGGGGAGAAATTAATTAATTTATTCTATATTTTCCAAACTGCTGTTGTATGTTTATTAAAATCCTGTTTCTGTTTCTCAGACAATGTTACTAATACCTTTTTCATGTATGATATTATTTATTTGAGTATCACTGTTCTTTCTTTATCTTTCTAAACTTTACATATAATAAAAGTTTTATAATTTTGGTTGCTCGTTTTAATGATTTATACCCTGATACCAACTGATTTATCATTGATCTATTTTGTTTGTTCTTGCTTTCTGAGTTCCCTGAGATATATTATTATGTTATCCATTTTAAGTGGCTCTAGTTTGAGTACATAGATGTTTATTGATATAAACTTTCCTCTCAGTGTTTTTCTTTTTCTGATTTGTAATTTTGGTGTACTGTATTTCAATTATTTGAGAGAGGGTCTCTCTAAATAGCCCTGGCTGTGCTGACCTTCACTGTGTACACAAGGCTGATCTCAAATTCACAAAAGATCTACCTGCCTCTGCCTCCTGAGTACAGGGATTTAAGGCATGTGTTACCAAGCCTGGCTTCTGTGTTTCAATTTTATATTTACACATTTATTTCCCCCATTAATATCCTCATTAACAGATTTACTATTCCCTACCATATTGCTTACTTTTTTGCTTTTTTTCAATTTCTCCAGTTTATATGTACTTGATTTATATATTTTATTTTCTGTAGTCAGAGAAGATACAGTTGGTTAATTTTGACTTTGTTGTTAATTTCTTTATATTTGATTCACAGGCTAACACAATTTCTATCCTAAAAATGTTCTATGTACTGATAGTAATATTTATTCTTCAGTTATGGGAAGAAATACTGTGCAAATATGTGGTAAGTCTATTTCATCTGTGCTGTGTCTAAACTTTTGTATTTTTTGTTCATTTTTTATTTTTATGGCCTGTCCAGTGACGAACGTAGGGTATTCATCTCCTCAGCTATTATTATCATTAACATTATTTTGGAGCCTTTCACTTTTGATGTTGTTTGTTTTATATATTTGGTGTCCCGGTACTACAACATCCTGTAGAATTCGTCACTTTATCATTATGTAATGACCCTCTATGTCTCTTTGCAATTTTTTTCAAATATGTTTTACCTGAAATAAATATAAACAATCCTGCATGTTTTTAAATTCTACTTATTATATTATGTATTTTCTTTTCCTCTTGAATCTCTGTTTGAATGCAAGCACCATTTAGCCTGTAAACAATGGAATTTGGTGAGGCTGTGCATTAAGACAAAGAGATTGGCATTAACAACATGGATTAATAGCCAACAGCAGTGCTCTGATCCAATTTCCCTTGTGCTCATACTAGTCATTTTAAGTCTGTGAATATCCCATTCACAAGCTGGCAGCAGGTTGCCCCATTGAAAGCATAAGTGATAATTAGTTTGCATGAAGGTTAGAACTAGAAGTTATAGGTGATGAGCTGGATCCTCAAAGCACTTTCACAGAAAACATTATATTCTTAGAATTGCATTGTCTTTTAAGAAAAATGAATGATTTTAATATTATATGAATGTATAAATCTTAAACCCAGAGCAGTATCATATTTAATAGTGAAACACTAAAACATCCTATCCCCAGGGTCATTTTTAAGTACTCTTTTTAAGATTATAATTACATCTTGTTCCCCACTTCCTTTTCCTA